GTCCCCGCCACAACTTGCCGTATGAAATAAACATGCCGTTGTTCATGGCTTTGTTGCTCGCGTTGACAAGACCGCGTGTTGTCTCTGACGATGGTGGGTGCCGGTTTGCAGCACCACGTGCCCTGCTCTCTATCGTATATTTTTTTAGAGGAAAGGCATAAGCCCGACTTTATAAATAAACCACCAGACAATGTTCAACAAACACAGATAACCATGACAGGAGTATCAACCACACATACACTCAGGAAAGCAAGGAGTACATGGCACCTAGGCCAGCAGATGGCACGCAGGCCGGGAGATAAGAAAGAACATGACAAAAGGGACCACCAAGTTCCTCTAGCCGCCTGACTGATGTTGTAGAAGAGAAGTAGCAATGGACCGAATCTTGGTAGTCATTAGGTCAAATGCCTCGCGATCAGCCTCCTTAGTCAATAATAATCTCCACTGCTGCAAGAATATGCATGATTTAAATAAGCAATCAGTCGGTTTAGCAGGGAAGATGTGCTCGATAGTGAACTTGTTCCTAGTTGTCCACATCGCCCAGCAAATAGCCGGGAATCCCACCCAGAACAGCCGCCTAGAGGCCCCAACTAGGCCAGAAGCAAGGTTCCTAAGGTCTGAGAAGGAAACAACCAAACAGGCTCGAGGATACATGGAGCCAGAACCGGATGCAACACCAGACGAACTTAGCCAAGACACAACTGAAAAAAATGGCCCGTATCCTCCATATCACTGCACAGCGCGCATCTGTCGGACCCAGGCCCGTTACGTTTACAGATTTGATCAGCCGCCGGCAGCCGCCCTCTGAAGGCTTGCCACAAAAAGACCTTAACCTTGGGAGGGATATGGGCCCACAAAATCACCTTCAATTTGGATGTGGGAGTACCAGAAATAAGCTTAGCCTAAAGCCACTTAACAGAAAAACGTTCGGAGGCAGAATGGGGCCAGACCACCGAGTCCTCCCCCTCTGAGAGCACGGGGATGTAGGCAACAAGACGCTGCCAATCATCGAACTCTTTAGGAGAGAGAGAGCGACGAAGGGCCAGGTCCCAGTTATTACCGGAGAGCTCAGAGATAGAGATCTCCGGGTCCGAGCAGTAGAAAAAAGGACCGGTAAGGAGACCGCAAGAGGGGCCGTACCGCACCACCAAGCAAGACAAAAGCGAGTAGATTTACCATTACGAACCACAAATTTAACAAGAGATTTAAACAACGAACGAACATTAACAAGGTCTTTCCAAAATTGAGAAGCGCCCAAAGAGGAAGCAAACATAGGACTGGAGTTAGGGAAATACTTGGCTTTAAGAATATCGAGCCAGAGCGGATTCTTTGAGGTAGTCATGATCTTCCACCACCATTTGCTGATAAGGCATTTGTTCATAATCATGGTGTTAATGATGCCCAACCCCAAAGGTTCTTGGGCCTACAAATATGTTTCCATTTCACCAGCCTATATTTGCGTTTGTATCCGTAACATTCCAGTAAAACGCACCCGCGTGCGTACCCATGGAGAGAAGGTAAAAACCTATCAAGAACATGGGGAGGGACGAGAGGCGGGCATTGATAAGGGCAACCTTGCCAGCCTGTGCTATTTGCCCCTCCAAGGCACGACATGATTGCCCACTTTGGCTACTGCAGGAGCGAAGTCTCTAGCAAGGAGTTTCTCATGAGATATAGGGAGACCAAGATATTTGAGAGGAAAGGAGCCCAGAGAACAATTAAGCAGATGAGAGGCACGCAGGGCCTCGGGGTTCGATACCCCAGTAACAATAACTTCACTCTTAGCAAAATTGATCTTAAGCCCCGATAATGCTTCAAAACAAAGCAGTGGAAACTTAAGGTGAGTTATACACTCGTCGTTCAGCTCGACCATAATAATAGTGTCATCAGATTATTGGAGGTGAGTGATCCCCTCCAGGACAAGGTGAGAGCTAATAGGGGAAATATGCCCGGCCGCAGCCGCCCTCGAAAGAATGTTGGATAAGGCATCCACTACAAAATTAAACAGAAGAGGGGAGTCCGGGTCTCCTTGCCTTAGGCCCCTGCCATTGCAGAAGAAGTTACTAACCCTGCAATTAACGGAACCCTCCATGTGACCACTCGAAACCAGCTGCATGATTCGGTGCACGTAGGCCCCATCAAAACCTTTTGCCAGCAGGACCTGACACAGAAACTTCCAACTAACCGAGTCATAGGCTTTCTCAAAATCAAGCTTAAGGATCACCTCCTTGGTACCTCTCTTACGGATATCATGAATAATTTCATGAAGGCAAAGGATCTCGTCCAGAATGAATCTCCCTTTGACAAAATATGATTGGTAAGGGGAGAGAACTCGATGAGCGGCGGGGAAGAGGCGCGTGGCAAATCCCTTGGCTGGGAATTTTGCAAAGTTATTCATGAGGGCGATAGGTCTGAATTGAGAGATAATGTCCGCGCCCTTAACTTTAGGGATGAGGGTGATGGCAGCGTAATTTAACCAAGAGATATCAACCGTTCCCAAACAGAAACCTTGGATGATAGTGCAAACAAGATTGCGCAGCTAGGGCCAGAACTTCCTAAAGAAGGGAATAGAAAAGCCATCAGGGCCCGAGGCCGAGTTAGGATTGGCCTTGCGAATGATCTCAAAGATCTTCTCATCAGAAGGGGGGGGGGGTAAGTAAGGCTTCGTTCTCCTCAGCGGAAATCTTCTCCTGGTCATCCCAGAAAGAAGGGGCGATCGCAAACCCAGATTCGGGTTTGGCCGAGAGAAGGGAGGAAAAGAACTCCACCACATGTGACATAATGAGATTCTAGTCCGAGACCCTAACACCATTGATCAACAGGCTATCGATCGCACAGTGCCTACGTCTGCCATTGGCGATGGCGAAGAAATAGGCAGTGGGGGAATCGCCCTTCAACACCCAATTGATAGTGCCCCTTTGTCACCAGTAAACCTCAGCCTATCGACGCAACTGCATCAAGGCCTCTTCAAGGGAATATCTCAACTACCACTCTTGATCCAAGAGGCCTGTCCCATCGGCTGCAGCGTCAAGGGAGTAAATTTTCCTAATCAGGTGAGTCTTGTCCCTACACGCCTCTGTTGCTCGGTTGAGGGCCCAACCACAAAGAAATTTGCGGAGGGAGTAAGAGGAGTGGTGCCAATCATTTATTGGCCCAAAGGAACGTCTATCCGTGGAGAGGAGGACTGAGATTCTAGTAGCAATCAAGTCACATAAACCATCTACCATAAGCCAAGAAGCATCAAACTGGAAACGGGGAGGGGCTATTTGAGATTGGAGCTCAACATCAAGGATGAGGGGGCGTGGTCCGAACCGACAATGGATTTAGCTTTCAGGAACGCACGGGGGAACAGAGCATCCCTATTCAAACATACGAAGACACGATCAAGGACCGAGTGGATGGGAGAGGTCTGATGGTTCGTCCAGGTGAAACGAGAACCCACCCTTAGGATCTCACGCAGAGCGCAGTCACTAATGAAGCCATTGAAAGCGCAGCAAGGGGCCATGAGAAATTGTTGCTACTTTTGTCCGACGACGAATGTAAAAGGTTAAAATCACCACCCACCAAGATGGGAATGGTGTAAGACTCAATCTTAGTAGTAATCTCGTCGAGAAATAGAGGAGAAAGAGACTGGTCAGCGGGTCCGTACACTACCATGACCTCCCAGAGAACATTCAATTGATGATGGAACACAATAGTGCTAGCCCAAAAACACCATGATCAAAGGCCACAAAATAAAAAACGTCTCATTTAGTACCAATAAGGATCCCACCAGAATGGCCATAAGAGGGGAGAAAGTTTCAGTCAAATCTATCAACGCCCAGAACCGCGGAGAGCTTGTTAGGAGAGAAGGAACCTTTAAACGTTTCTACTAGTCCTACAATGTCAATGCTGTCTCCCCTAACCACATCTCTCAGTTGGTTTCTACGCCCCCTAGTGCTGAAACCCCTAATATTC